ACAGACATTTGGATAGAGTTCTTTTAGGAGTAAAATGAAGAAAATCCATATAGGAAAATATTTTTTCCTTATCTTAATGTTTCTATAACCTTTAACATTTGAGAGGTAACATTGCTGAGAATGGCAAATTATGAGCAGATGCTTTGTTAGGGAATAATGCACGAGCTGAATATTTATGCACTTTGCAGGGGTAGTCATAGTCTTTGAGTTATGGAAGTGCTAGCTGTACTCAGATACACCTTAGAAACAGTAGAGTTTTGTTCCTTCAGCAGATTGCCAACTTCACAGGCTATTTAGCTTTGCTTCTTTTAGCTGCAATTTCAGGTTCTTCTGAGCTGAAAGCAGGATTTAACTGCTTTCTTATCTTTGGCATTCTCTTCTTAAATCTTTTGCCAGGATGTGGAGGATCATACAGCAGCAGCCATATTTATACTGTTCAGCAAGATCGGGTCAAGGCCTATTCTCTGACCTTAAGGCCAAATGACCCAGCACAGCTTGTGTCCATATGCTTAACCTTTTTCTCCTGCAAAACTAGGGCAGCCTCATCCACACTGTTTAGGACTGGATGACTTCCTTCTTTTTTGTTTCACAGTGACTGAGTCCCAGAGCAGGAAAACTTAAGACTAACCTTGGTAGCTCTCAGCCAGCTGAAGACAGGCCCAGATTGGTAATTCTTTATCCATATATGCTCATACCTCACAACATGAGGGATACTCAGCTGTGGGTCTTGAACATGAAACTGTCCATAAAACTAAGTGTTTTCATCCATTCCCTTGCCCTCAACATGTCTATAGAATAATATGCTTAACTGGGTTTGATAATTTTGGTTTTCCCTGGGTAGAAGTTAGGCAGCCAACCTAAGCCAGAGGACTACTTACTTAACAAGAACAGGGGTAGTAAGAACAATGAGCAAAAGGGGGTCTACCTGCACATTACTTAACAGACTTGTATGGTCCTGAATGCAACCTAGTCAGCTTGTCTTTTTCAGATCCTCTTGTGAGAGCTTGTACAATCTTCTGCTTTTCTGAACAACTGGCTTTCTTGTCACATGGCCTCTGGAGGAAAGACTCCATGAATTTCATGAGCTTTGTCTCTGAATCCAGAAAACCAACAGCTAGACCTAGCAGATCACCAAATGAGAATCCTCTGAATTGACGACTCCGCAGTCAATTAACAGTAGCTCTTTGTCCGTGTTTGCTAAGGAATGGCTTAATGTGAACCAAGCTTTCCTGTCCTGCCTGGTTCCATGACAGTTCTCTTTTAAATGAAATAAATATGTTCAGATAGTAAAAAGACATCAGAATTGTTGGCTTTTACTCTGTGCATTAATTAGTATGAGGAGCCTTAATATCTGTCCATCTCAAGATAGTATACGTCATAGGAGAAATAATAGTCGGGCAGCTATGTTACTTTGTGCATGTCCTGCTTTATTTGGGAAAGTGAGGTAAAGGAATGGAAAATGTTTCAGTTGTATTATCCCATTGACTTTGTCAGACCTGCAGAAAAAGATTATGTCCAGAAGGTGTAGTTTTTTTCAGCAGGTGGAATATAAGAGCAACTTGTAGGGTTTTGCTTTTTTGTCTACTCTGTTTTAATATATTCAGTCTCCATTGATATTACCTATTTTCTTTGTGGCACAATTTCACTATACATTGTCATTCTAAAGAACAATATATAAAATAAGCTTTCTTTTTTTCCTTCCAGAACATTCCCTGTCGTGCCATTTCAATGGGCCAGGGCCAGGAAGTCCATGCAAGGCGCCTCTTAAATCAGTGCATACAAGATGGCGGATGGCTCCTGCTACAGAACTGCCACCTTGGCTTGGAGTTTCTTAGTGAGTTAATGGACACCATCACAACAACAGAATCTATGAGTGAAGGTTTCAGAAGCTGGATCACTACAGAGGCTCACCCAGAGTTTCCTATTAATCTTCTACAGTCCTCTATCAAATTTACTAATGAACCTCCTCAAGGTAGCAAACCCTGGGTTTTTTTGAATTTTGGAACTTGCCCTGCCACCCCTTGTATCACTATACTCTGTGCAGTGTTTCAGTTTTTATTCTCTGTTGTTTCATTATCTAAATACAGCACTGTGTAAGTCAGTTTTGCGATGTTTAAGGCATGACTCTTTTGGGAAGAAAAATGAATATTGTTTGTTTATGTGACAGAAATTGATAGTGGTTTTGTTGTTTGTGTAGAATCTGTGGAGAGTGTCAGGTCTGTGGTCCTTTCTTAAGCTTAGTACACTCCATCACTCTTTTCTTTCTGTCCTGTTGACCCAACCCAAGGATGCAGGGAGAGACAGATCCTGTGCTCTGCTGGGTAAGGAAAGAGAAGGACTCTTCTGAATATTCAACCTCAACCTCCCAAGCTGTGGTTATTGCTTCTTGTTATGTCTTCTGGCACTGCTGACAGCAGACTGATCCCAGCATCTTTGTAACTGTCCTTTGGGTATTTGTGAGCTGCAACTGAATCATTCCTTAGCCTCTGTCACTGGCAAGACAGTTAATAACAACCTATAGTGAATCTGAATGCTAAGGTTTACTTAAGAATTTATGAGATTAGGGCTTTATGCTACTTACTTATTTTACACACTCACTCTCTCATGCTTCCAGCCTCCTGTATTGAATTCATTTCATCTTGACTTCCCATCCCATTGGAGAGATCGTTGCTGGTCCAGGAAGATCGGGCAGAAAGTCATGTTGGTTTCATGCTGTGCATCTACTTGCAGCTACCAGTCTTGGACATTACTGGCCTAGGTCTCTAGGCATCCCCTGGCACCATGCATCTCCCCTATGACCAGGATCTTTCCACACTTTCAGGAAGTCTCCTTAAGCTAGGATGTTCATCTCGTGCTTTCTAGGCTTCTAAGCCCTCAGTTTTCCTAGCCTGAGTAGTCTATGTGCAGAAGCACAAATTGGCACTTCTGAGTCATGTTGCCATATTAGTTGGAGGATTCAGGATGTTTAACTTTTTGCAACCTCTACCATTCACAGCTAGCAAGTAACAGGTTTTTCCTTGAGAATTAAAAATTTCAGTTTGGACAGCCACCATCTCTCATATGTGCATGCAGTTATGTGTCAGCTTTCAGTATTCACAATTAAAGCTGGTTTTTACATACCACAGCCTCCTATTCAACAGACTAAACAGCCTTCTTGTCCTCTCTTTGACCAACTGTTAAGCAGCTTTGCAGAAAAGGACCTGGGTTTTCTGATGGAAATCAAGTGGAACCTAACCCAGCAATGTGTCCTTGCAGCGAAGATGGAAGAACAAAGGATTGGAGAACATGACATATGAGGAAAGGCCGAGAGACCTATGCCTGTTTAACTTTGAAGAGAGAAGAGGTATCTTATCAAAGCATTTACATATGTAATGGAAGTGAATAAAGAAAACAGCAAGACTTTTCTCAGTGGTGCCAAGTAGCAGAAAGAGAGGTGGTGAACACAAATGGAAATCCAGGAAATTCCACTTCAGCGTCAGAAAAAACTTAACACATTGTGAGGGTGGTCAAATACTGGAACAGCTTGTTCAGTGAGTTTGTAGACTCCATCCTCAAAACCCACATGGACAAAGTACTGAGCAACCAGCTCTAGCTGACATGCTTTGAGAAGAGGTGTTGCACAAGGTGACCTCCTTCCAACCTCAACTTTTTGGTGTTACTCTGTGTGATATTACACAGGGTTACAGTGTTGGTGGATACAGAAAGAGCAACTGATGTCACCTACATCGACTTGTGCAAAGCATTTAACACTGTCCGGCATGACATCCTTGTCTCTACATTGGAAAGACATGGAACTGATGGATGGGCCACTTGGTGCATAAGGAATTGGCTGGATGATTGCACTCAAATAGTTGCAGTCAATGGCTTGATGTTCAAGTGGACACCAGTGACGAGTGGTGTTCCTCAGCGGTTGGTACTGTCACCAGCGCTGTTTAACATCTTTGTCAGTGGGATAGAGTGCACCCCCAGCAAGTCTGACAACACCACCAGGCTATGTGGTGCGGTCAATGTGCTGAAAGGAAGGGTTGCCATCCAGAGGGACTTTGACAGGTTTGAGAAGTAGGCCCATGCCAACCTCATGAAATTAAACAAGGCCAAGTGCAAGGTCCTGCATGTGAGTTGGGGCAATCCCAAGCACAAATACAGGCTGGGTGGAGAATGGATTGAGACCAGCCCTGAGGAGAAGGACTTGTGTTAGTTGATAGGAAGCTCAACATGAGCTGGCGATGTGCACTTGCAGCCCAGGAAGCCAACCGTATCCTGGGCTGCATCAAAAGAAGCATGACCAGCAGGTCGAGGGAGGTGGTTCTCCCCCTCTACTCTGCTCTTGTGAGACCCTACCTGTGTCCAGCTCTGGGCCCTCAATACGGACAAGAACCTGTTGGAGCGAGTCCAGAGGAGGACCACAAAGATGATTGAGGGGGGAGCACCTCTCCTATGAGAACCAGACTGAGAGAGTTGGGGTTGTTTAGCCTGGAAAAGAGAAGGCTCCAAGGAGACCTTATAGCAGCCTTCCAGTACTTAAAGGAGGGCTATGAGAAAGACATGGAGGGACTCTTTATCAGGGAGTGAAATGATAGGACAAGGGTTGACAGTTTTAAACTTGAAGAGGATAGATTTAAATTGGATATTGGGAAGAAATTCTTTACTCTGAGAGTAGTGAGGCACTGGAAAAGCTGCCCAAAGATGTTGTGGGTGCCCCCTCCCTGCAAGTGTTCAAGGCCAGGTTGGACAGGGCTTTGAGCAATCTGGTCTAGAGGAAGATGTCCCTGCCCATGGCAGGGGGGTTGGACCAGGTGATCTTTAAGGTCCCTTCCAACCCAAACCATTCTATGTTTCTATGATATGAAAACATCCAGCTTTTCTAAGTAGTGTCTAACCTCTCTCCTGCTGTTGAATATCTCTCTCTTTCCCAAACTATGCTGCTATCTGCAGACATGCTTTATATGTTTATAAAGGCAACTTACTGCCTTGCCTTATATCTAATTATGTAGGATAAGTGTTTTGGACCATGGCAGAAAGAAATCCTCAAGCCTGACACTTATTTTGTCTTTTAACTCCTTCCTCTTTAACTAACTGTGTAATGTATCAACTTGCCCTTCATTTATACATATGTGTTGCCACTGATTTCAGTTAATGAAGTCAGTAAAAGCTGAGAATTTTTACCCAAGGTCGTATTTAATGCCTCAGTCATTTAAAAATCTTATTTCAGTTTTCATCTTCCTTTGAACATTAGTAAGATATCTACAAAATCTCTGATCTTGTGAAAGACATTCTGCTTCAGTGTCTCCACTCCACTCTCAAGAGTGTTAAAAATGTCTTACTTCTTTCACTTCTCCTCCCCTCTTCTAATTCATGCTCAGTATCTTTTTATTGTACTATGGCCCCTCCTTGTCATTCAAATGATAACACCCTATAGCTCCTAGAGGCTATTTTATGAGTCAAGTTATAGCCAATTTACAACTTGCATTTAGCAATAGAAATATGCCCAGTGTAACAGTTTAAGTCAGGATGAAATATAAACAGTTTTAGTTTTCTAATACTGTCCTGCCACATTGGTAGCACGATGTGATAGGACACTTCTGTTTGATTAATTTTTCTTGATTTTAGAACTTACATATGATACCCTTATAATGTTTTGAAAAGCTATTTGGTTGAATGTTGTTCTACAGAATCATTGTGAATTAGGAAAGAAGCAAAAGGGCTTTATTGTGTCCTATGTAGTATGATGATTTGGACAATCTATTCACTCCACTTGAGATCTGCCTTTTTAAACTTGTGTTAAGATGATTAGGTGGAACATATCATAAGAGAGACCTGGTGTCAGCAACTCATGCTCAGTATTGTCTGCCAAAGGCAGACGATGCTTCAGTAACACTGCCTGAAGACATCTGAGAGTAGTGAGGCATACATACTCCATGGAAGCCGAGATTGGACCAGTATCATCAGCCTAAAGATATTCCTGGGATCTGAAATGTCAGTGCTCAAAGAAACCTCCCTAAGTATTAGTATTTCTGCTTTGACTTTGGGTTCTCATCTCATCAACTTGGTATCTGTATGCCAGTTTGAGAAGCTGCATACAGAATTTTGAGATTGTTATAGGAAAAAAATCTAAATAAAATGGTCTTTGGTAGAACTAGTGTCTCATTTTATATGTAAATATTGAAACAACAACTCTTGGATATTCAGTGCAATATTTCATATGATGTTAGGTGTTTCTTTGATTGCCATATAATTGCTGAATAGTTATGTTTATATTTGAGTTGTTATTGGTAACATTTAGAATATCATTACGTAAATGTAATTCCTTCAAGACTCCTGAACTTAATTTGGTGTGTCATCTACCTGAAACAAAATGTAATTGAAGTTTGCCTGCTGTGACGAGCTGAACAGATAATTGATTCAATGAGATTATTTGAAGCTATAAATAAGATGATACTGTAAATTGGAATAGAGATTTCTGCTTAACGGGAGTTAGTGTTATGGGCTATATACATTTTTTTGCTCATATATTACATTTTTATGCTTATTTTCTAGGTGTGAAAGCTGGCTTAAAACGAACATATTCAGCTATTACTCAGGATCACCTAGAAGTGAGCAACATGCCACAGTGGAAACCATTGCTATATGCTGTAGCATTTCTTCACACAACTGTTCAGGTTTAAAAATACATTTCTTTTGTTCTGTCATAAAGCTATGTTTCATTTATTGATGCACCATGTTATTAAAAGAAAAACATGTTTAAATGGAAATCAAGTGTTAGTAAATTAATACAAATAAAATAAGAAAGAAAATAACTTTCCTTTATCACTGCAACTGCCTTCTGTCTTAGAACTTTGAACTCTGCTCATGTTGATCTTGTACTTCCAGCAGGGATGGTATTTCAGAGTAAAAATGGACATTCAACCAATGATCAATTAGTATGCTCTTCTGTGAAAGTCTTTGGGAATGGCTGTGTGATCTGTCTTTCAACTAACTGATTTTTACTAACATTTTAAATCATAAAAGTACATTAAAGGAATGTACAGCTTGGGTTGGAAAACCATAGTCTTAAAACTGCTGCTTTCACACTGAGAAGGTCTAAGAGGGTGAATATAAATCCTTCCTGCACTGAAATCTGTAGGAGGAAATGAAGGTGGAAGATGATTTTGGGTCTTGCCTTTCAGGAGTTCCATTAAAGAAAGTGTTTTATGGATTAACCACAACTTTTCATCATTCTATTGATAGATTTTGTGGTATCCTTAGTTTATATTTGGCGCCTAGTTAATTTTACTTTGTGGCATCCATGCACTGATACATTGTGGTCCAGTGGAAGCCTGTGGCATGCTTTTCTTTAGCCCATTGGTACTTTTGTGGTTGAAATTAAGAATGTTTAAACACCAGATACTGCCCTAACAACCACATACTACCAGCTGCATCTGTAAATGATTCAGTAGGAAACAGATTTTGCTACTTGCATCTGCACTATGCAGAGATATCAGTGGTACTAATATACCTAGTTCATAGGAGGACCGCAGATAATGATCACAGCTGAGCAGTTTGGACATCCTTTCTTAGAACAGTATTTTCATTTTTGAAACTCAGAAGCTATAGTCCTAGACTCACAGATTTGCTGCACTTTCAAAGGAGGAATTTTTCTTTGTGAAAATGTTAATATGCCTATCCTTTGTTTGTATCTCTCTACTGATGATGATCAATAAAGAAATATTTAACTACTAGATAATTAATCAAGCATTTGGACTTGTGTGTGGTAAAAGAATTATTTTTTTAAAATCTGGTGAAATACAACCCCAGCTGGACTGCTACATTCTTAGCATATTTCATGTATTCTTCTGCACTTACTGTTTTCTTCACAATTGCTATGGATCAGCCTTTTACCTTTAACTCTATCTATTTTACAGGAAAGACGAAAGTTTGGTCCATTGGGCTGGAATATTCCTTATGAATTTAATCAGGCGGACTTCACAGCCAGCATCCAATTTGTTCAGAATCATTTGGATGATATAGACATTAAACGTGGAGTGAACTGGAGCTGTGTTCGCTATATGCTTGGAGAAGTACAGTATGGTGGCCGTGTAACTGATGACCTTGACAAAACACTGCTGAATACATATGCAAGAGTGTGGTTTGGAGAACATATGTTTGGTGAAAAATTTTGTTTCTACAAAGATTATGTTATTCCAAAAGGGAAAACAGTGGAAGACTATCTCCAGTACATAGAGCAATTGCCAGTGATTGATACACCAGAGGTAAAATACTTCAAAGTACTAAAGGGAGTTTTTGTGAGATAAAAAGTTTAATCAGGTATATCTTCCAGAGCCATGAATGTATACGTCAAGATTAGCAGGCAGAGCGTTACGGTCAGTATCCAGTGTAGGTCTGTTGACCAGCAAAAGGTAGATGAAGCCTTCTTCAAGTAATTGGAAGAAATCTCACATTCACAGGCCCTGGTCCTCATGGAGGACTTTAATGTCCCTAATTATCTGCTGGAAGGGTGATACAGCAGGTTTCAAGCAGTCTAGGAGATTTCTGAGTGCATTAATGACAACTTCCTGGCACAGGTAACTCAGGAGCCAGCAAAGAAAGTCGCTTAGCTTGATCTGATAATTACTTATAAGCAAGAAAGAACTGGTCAGGGATGTGAAATCCAGAGGAAGCCTTGATTGTAGTGACCAGTGGTGGAGTTCAGGATTCTAGGAGAAGGGAGCAGGGCAAAAGGCAGGGCCACAGCATAGAATTTCAAGAGTGCAGAGTTCAGAGGTTTCTTTCAGGCTTAGGAGAATTCCATGGCTTATAGCCCTGGAGAGAAGAGAGGTCCAGGAGAACTAGTTTATATTCAGAGATCATCTCGTCCAAGTTCAAGAAAGATCCATCCTAACAAGTAGGAAATCAAATGCAGCAGGAGGCCAGAATGAATGGATGAACAAGAAGCTCCTGACTGAATTCATACATAAAAAGGAAGTGTACAAGAGGTGGAAGCAAGGGCAAGTGACCCAGCAAGAGTATAGAGCTACTGTCCAATCTTGCAAGGATAGGGTTAGGAAAGTCAAGGCCAAAGTGGAGTTGAATCTGTCAAGCAACATGAAGGGCAACGAGAAAGGCTTTTACAAGTATGTAGAAAGCAAAAAGATGACGAGGGGAAATGTGGGTCCAGTGCTGAATGGAGAAGGAGAACTAAAGAGAAATTATATGGAAAAAGCTCAATGACTTCTTTGTCTCAGTTTTAGCAACAGAACTGGCCTCCAGGAACCCCAGGCCCCTGAGATGAGAAGTCTAGGACAAGGAACTTACTCCTGGTGGAAGAGGACCAGATTAGGGAGCATTTAAACAAACTGAATATATCTAAGTTCATGGTATCTGATGGGTTACACCCATGAGCTGGCTGATGTCGCTGTCAGGTTACTCCCAATTACTTTTAACTGGTCATGGTGAGTGGATGAGGTTCCTACAGAATGGAAGATAGCAACTATCACTCCCATTTTTGAAGGGAAGAAGAAATATCTAGAGAACTACATACAGATTGGTCAGCCTCACCTCTGTCCCTGGGAAGGAGAAAATTATCTTGCAAAGCATTTCCAAACTTATGAAGTACAAGCAGGAGATTGAGGGTAGTCAGCATGGATTTGTGAAGGAGAAATCATGCTTAACCAACCTGTCAGCTTTCTAAAGTGAAGTGACCAGCTTGGTGGGTAAGGAGAGAGCAGTGAATGTTTTTATCTTAACTTTAGTATGGCCTTTTGACACTGCCTCCTGTAACATCTTTATAGATAATCTGACAAGTATAGGTTAGTTAAGTGTACTGTGAGGTGGTTTGAAAACAAGCTAAATAGCTGGTCCTAGAGGGTTGTGATTAGTGGCACAAAGTCCAGTAGGATACAGGTCACTAGTGCTCTATGCCAGGGGTCAGTACTGAGGCCAATGTTATTTAACACCTTTTTTAAGGATGCAGATGATGGGGTGGAGTGCACCTTCAACAAGTTTACAGGAGATACAAAACTGGAAGGAGTGGCTGATAGACCAGAGAGATCTGGACAGCCTGGAGAACTGGGCAGATGGGGATCTCATGAAGTTTGACAAGAGGAACTGTAAATTCCTGCATTGGTTGTCCTAGTGGTGAACTAGCTGACCATGAACCAGCAATACACCCTCATGACAAAGAGGCAAACAGTAACCTAGGAGTTAGGAAGAAGGAGGTGATCTTTCCTCTTCACTGAGCACTGATGAGACCATATCTGAAGTATTGTGCCCATTCTGGGCTCCCCAGTACAGGAAAGATATGGACTTACCAGAGTGAGACCAGAGCAGGGCCATGAAGATGATTAAAGGACGGGAGCATGTGTCATATGAGGAAAGGCTGAGAGAGCTGGAACTCTTTAGCTCAGACAGGATCTTATCAATGTGTATAAATACCTGTTGGGAGGGTGTAAAGAAGGAGCCAGAGTCTTTTTGATGGTACTCAGTGAAAGGACAAATTGAACTACAGGAAATCCCATCTGACAACAATAGAAAGCTTTTACAATTAAGGTTGTCAAGCACTGGAAGAGGTTGCCCAGAGACGCTGTGGAGTCTCAGTCTTTGTAGATACTAAGATCCCAGCTGGACACTGTGCTGGACAGTCTGCTCTAGCTGATCCTGCTTGAGCAGGTGGTTTGGATTAGATGACCCTCAGAGGTCCCTTCCAAACTGAACTATTTTGTGATTTTGTGATTCTGCATGGGATTGAGCACAATCATGAACTGAGAAATAATGTAAATACAAAAAGCCATGTGAGCTCATCTTGCAAGTTATAATTGGGAGATTATTCCATTTTGACAACAGGAAGATTTGGATGTTGCCATGACCTAATGGGGTAGGGTGCAAGGTAGCATCTGGTTGCAACATGACCCAGTATGTGTATACTGAAACGGTCATATTATTTGGAGGACTGAGACTTTCTGCTCCCTCTAGTGCAGGCACACGTGATGAAGTTAGTTGAAACAGAAGGGAATGTTCTGTATTTCTGTCTCATTGCTATTATCTTGATAAATGTGTTTGAAGGTAAGTTCTAGTAAAATTGAAGAGACAGGACTGAGCAAAAACCCTCTGGCTTTCTGTTACTGATAATGTGCTGGCTCGGAGGATGAGAAGATTCCAAGTCATCAAATAAACTTGAATAGTTTTGAATCTCATAAGGTAGTACAAGTAGATTGAAAGGGTATTTGTGCTGGCAACAACGCACCTTTTCCAGATGAGGGTAAATGCAGCCATTGTAATGCACCAGCAAGATCCACTTGAGCCCAGCTTCTGAAGTGGTTCCTATCGGTGTATGAACCTTGAATCTATCAGATTTCAGGTGCTACTTTTATGGATCTGTTTTAGTAAGCACTTGGGAACCTATCACATAGTGCTGCAATGTATTTTCAAAGTGTTTTGATGCCTGTAAAAAATCTGTATGTATGGTTTGATGCAGAGGAATTTTACCTTTGACTTTTATGTAAATAGAATCAAGTCCAGGAATGGAAATGTCTTTTTCTTCTTCATGTTTTCACAGGTTAGGAAGAAAGCTATGACTTTCTTCTGTCACTCCAAAATCTGTCAAAATTGCCTGTAGAAACCTTTGACCTTTTAAGTTCCCAGTCTTCTTTATTCCACAAAAGATATTGTGCTAATCAAAACAGTGTCTTTGTTTCCTCCCCTTTCCATTTTTGGTTAAGAAGGAAAGACTGAATAGGTCTGATTGCTATATCCTTGCTCTTTTGATGAAATTTCAACCTCTGATCAGAATAAACACTGACTTCTGAAGAGAGCTATTGTACCCAGCAAGCCTTTTGAAAATTACTTTGATTTCAAAGGAGGATAGAGCTTTAGCAATTGGGTTTAAGGGTTTATCAGGCCAAAAAAGCCTGAAAGACAGAGTCCAATATCCCTTTTAAAATCAAAATTCCCAGAGATCTTGGATCAAAATGAATGCGAAATTTGGCTGCTTGATCAATTTACAGGTTACCCAGGACGTCAGTCCACCCACCCATTTCTTTACCACTCTGGTTTCTTTTTTCTTATTTATTCATACATCATTCGCACAAAAACATAGGACCAGAGCTGTCTTCCATGTAAAATCCCTGTCTTTGGCAATATTACACCAATTATGAAGTTAGCCCTTGGACTAGTGCTATGATTTATATTCACAGTAGCAGGTATTTTTCATGTTTCTGGCTTAGTTTATAGCATTGCCACAAAATCTGCTAAAGCAAAAACAAACAAACCAAGCCTTATTGTGCAAGAGCAAAAGCAGAAAAGAGTGTATCTTCAAATGTGTATTTTGTTCCATGATACATAAAGTGCATTGGTATTTTTACTTTTTTACAGCTCTAAATATTCAGGTCGAGTAAACTGCTATGTGTAAAAAATGTTATATCCTACTTGGAACATAATTCCATGCTAGCTATAGTCACACCTTCTCTCACACGTGGTATTAGGTCTATACTGTGTTTTTTGTGCTGTTGGAAGGATGAGACCCACAACTGATGTAAATCTGTGCAGCTTTGCTGGCTTGACACTGATATCCCTTGTCTCTGAGTTTCTAGATTTGCAAGCATAACAATATTGTATATGGCCCTTTTTATTCTGCCCTCAGAATATGTAAATATTGGTTACTAAAGGGGTCATCTTATAATATACCAGTTCTAATGTAAAATATGAAAACATGAAAAATGAGAAGTGGAAGATTGCTTGGCTGTGGTGCTCAGATTGAGGGCAAGCCTTCCTCATTGCTGGATCACAGGTTCAAAGTTTGTAAGAGACAGTTCATAGCTATAATTAAATGAAGGCTTGTTAAATAAGTCACAGTACAATTCCTCCTGGAGAAGAGTTGCAGTTGTCAACCTGACAATTATAGACCTGCTGATATTTCAGTGGAAGTTTCTCAGAAAGCTATTATCATTCAGACAAAGGGCAGCTTTGCAGTAATTCTGTGCTAGCTGTGTCTTAAATAAAATAATCCAATTTCAGAAGAAGGGGAAGCGAGGAGTGGGAGACCTAACCCCAAAATAGCTAACCCATTAAATATACTGAATATATCACCAGTCATAGAATCTTTGGGTACTTCAAATATGGGCAGTATTTTATTCACTGTGATGCATCCATTATAAGCCTCAGAGACTGAGTAAAACAAAACGTGTTAGAAATGGTAGCTGATCTGACTATTAAGGGCATCTACTTGAGCTGATACAACAGCAATAGATCTGTAGAGACAAAGAGCTAGTGGCAAGGGGTCAGTGTCCACATATGCCATGTTTCCAACAAGCTCTAGTCTGAACCAATGGAAAGGAATCATTTTGTACCCCCTGATAGCACTGCAGCATGATCCAAAACCTGCTATGTGAAAATAATCAGATCAGTTAAAGAAAACGCCACTCATATGAATGAAAATGCTATTGTGTATGGAGCTTATGTTAATGTTTTTGTGTCATTTGGGCTTCATCCTTGGCCAGTTTAATCACTGTACTTCCACTGACATATTAATAATCTAGTATTTCATAGAGCGGATGATTTTTCATGGATTCCTTAATTGATATAATTTTAGAAGGAAAACTGCAATTTTTTTCTATTTTTTTCCCTTTTACATTAAGGTATTTGGACTTCACTCTAATGCAGATATAACTTACCAGACTAACTTGGCTAATGAGACATTAAGTACAATCGTGAGCATCCAGCCCAAAGACAGCAGCACTGGAGGAGGGGAAACCCGAGAAGCAGTGGTGCAGCATCTTGCTGATGAGATGCTAGAGAAGTTACCTCCAGATTATAACCCTCATGAGGTATATGCTGCTTTATAGACACAGATGTTTTATGTATGCATGTATATTTGTATATGTTTTATGAGTTTTATTGTATTTCTTAAATGTAACTGGCAAGTGTTTTAAAAAGCTCTTAAAATTATGCATAGTGTTTTATAAGTCTGTTTTGGTTCATTATCTGAAATATTCCTAGATTGGAAACATATATTTCAAATGCCATAGTCCACTCAGAACAGTCATTAGAGACTTCAGAAAGGTATTGCCCTCCTTAGTAGCTTGGGGAAGGACACCAGTGTCTCTTTCTGAAGGATCAGTGATCTTATCGTGGTTACAGCTTTCAATTTACCTACTCTTATTATGATACCACCATTACGAATAGTGAATTTTATCACTGAGCTTTTTATGCCCCAGATTTTTTTTGTGTTTGGGCCGTAAGAGATATCTTTGTCAATCTTTTATTGTATTTTTCATTAACAGCCTCATTAAATGGAAAAATGCAGTATAAAGCACTCTTGCATTGGTTTGTAAGTAGGATGTGGTGTCTTGCGATGTGTTTCATGAACAGTAACTGTTGAAACCCCCTAATTTCCACAATTTTATTATTACAATTCTGGTTTGTACTGATAGTGCTTTTTTTTTCTTTACCCTGGTTGCAGTTCAAGCTTGTAGAGTGCCCAGTATGCAGTTTGAAACTTGCTATACTTTATTTTCTTCTCTGGCTCACTTAGAATGTCCACTTAGGTTACAACTAATAGCCTTGAGGCCCTGGCAATATTTCATGTTTTTTGTTCTACTATTCCTCTCATATTTAATATGTCTTGTATGAATAGCCTCTTCTGTGCTGTCATAATTCAACTCAGAACTTCTCTTTTCATTCCCCTTTTGGCAAGCTACTTAAAATATGCAACTTTTTTCATGAGGTTTCCTAACAGCTTTCTCCATATAGTTATTTTTCCATTGATCTCTGCTTGTGTCTCTTTTTTTGTTACCTGTTTACTGAGTGACTCTCACTGATAGTACATAAATCATTTATTTGTAGAATTTAATTTGGAATGAAGTCACTTTTCTAGTTTTCAAATTATTATTTAATAGTAAATAAGTATTATACATAGCAGATAAAATTAAATATAGTTAGTGTAATAACCATAACACTTAATTACTAATTTAATAAATTTAATAATTTACACCTTGGATCTACCATTATAATCTACACCTTGAATTGTTCTCAAGTCCTTTACCCTTATCCTTCCTATCAGGGTAAAGCTTTCTTATGGAACTCGTTTATTCTAGTTTTATTCAGTTCCTTAGGATTTTTTTTTCAGTTTCCAGTATCAATAGAACACTGAATGACAAGGTAGCGTATATGGTTTTGCCATGTTTGTTATATGTGTATTGAGCTAATTTTTTCCAGTACACTTGCTAAATCCTCCAAAAGAGTCTTTCTTCATTCCTTTGTTAAAATGCCAACTTTTTTCCTCCTGAAGATTTAAAAATACTTAGAAGACATCAATAGTACTGGACTTTATATTGTAACCAGAGGGTATTCTTGCCCTCAGATTTTACGTCTGAGAATTTTTTGCAGTTTCTTTTAGTATTTTAAAATGCACACAAACTAGTTTAATCCAAATTTCACTTCTAAATGGTCTGAAGAAATACTATTTTACTCTGGCATTTCTTCTGTTTTATCTTGGTCTCATTCACTCTCATATCCTTCTTGGTTTATTCACTCAGGTTATCCACACAAAACACTCATAAAGTAGGTCGCCCCTTTTCAGTTACTTCCTCAAGTGTCTTAGCTTTGGAGACAACAAGCTATGGAGCCACGAGCTGTAGTTAAGGACAAAGAGTCTGGAGTGTTTATTTTGAAAGTTATACCCTGCACTCTTGTCTCTATTTTACTGCTGTGGGTCCAATACATACTTTTTCATGTGACTGTATAAAAAAACCACCACCAATTATTATCATTGCTGTTTCACTCTCATCATCCAGCAATATGACGAGCTATTATCTTTTCTCACAGTCTGCCAATCATACATGCAGGCTTTTATTTTCTTATAGACAATCATCTTTATAATGATGCTCATAAATAGATAGTTCTTTGCTTCTGTAACACTTCTCTGACATTCTCTCTCATTTTTGCTAACCTTTTTTGAGGTTAACAAATGTGACACTCATCTACAAGAAGGGCCGGAGGGAGGATCTGGGCAACTATAGGCCTGTCAGCCTGACCTCGGTGCCAGGAAGTGTTGTGGAGCAGATCATCTTGAGTGCCATCATGTAACACTAGCAGGAACACGAGGTGATCAGGCCCAGTCAGCATGGGCTTATGAAAGGAAGCAAATTAAATTAAGCTTACAAGTATAAGGAGTGAAATAGATTATGTAATTACTTCTGATGTCTGAAAAAAGGGGAATGAGATGAGTTCTGTTGTTTGTCAATTTATGTCAACATTGGATTATTATCTCCTAGATCAGTTTAACAACCCTGAAACAAATAAAACTAATATACTAAATTGTAGGAGACTGAGCAAATGTGTCAAAGAGATCCTATGCATGCATCATTGGATAAACGCAGTAAAAAAAATTTTAAAAATTCATTAATCCTAACAGTGCAACCTGGATTTGCTTTTAGAAGAGTATAATGCTCCAGTAAGGCCATAATGTGGTATTCTTTGGAAATCCAGTTATAAATATACTACCAGTGGACAAAAGGGACAAAAGGGACAAAAGGAACAAAAGGTTTAGGAAACAAATGGAGGTAATTAAAAGCAAATACTCTCCAGGGATGTGGCAAGTGCCTTTCCTATGTTTGATCCGTTCTTGTGGCTTCCTTTAGAAAGTGTGGAGTGAGACTGATCAAAGTTAAAAGCCCAGCAGAACTGAAACCAATTATTTGCTGACATTCAGAGCTCCAGATTGTACTTTCTGTTGATACATTGTCAATCCATAGAAAATTCAGGCTATCACACAGAGGCCTTCTTTTCTGAATTATTAACTTTTGGCAATGACTTCAGAACCGACAACTTTCAAACCAGGGCAATCATTTTACCCCATGATATATGCCATGTTTTTTGTCATTGTGTTCTTGTAACAATCCTCTCACCAGTTAAATAACAATGTTCACCCAAAAGACTATAAACAAAACAAGTCACCTTTGCATGCTTTATCAGCCTGCAGTTTTACACAGGTGATGGAAAAGCAAAACAAGCCTTCCTCCTGACCTAGAACTGTCCTCATTTTTCTCACTCCAAAGACAGAAGCAAAATAAGAGTTCCGTACTTACCAACCCTATCAGATATAGTGGTCACCCAGCTCTGGAGCTTTGGCTATTTTCTACTTATTTCGTTGCCTGCTTCCTTGCATGCAACAGGGAAGTTGTCCTTGGCACCACTTGGAAAGAGCTTTTACTTGGTCACACCTTGAGCTTGTCTTTCCTGTTCAGGCCTCTTATTTAGACCATCTCACGGAATGATGGACTTCCCAATTCTGCTGACAAAAGGTATAGCAAGTAGGGAAGCCTAGTTGAAAATAATAGCATTTACTGAAAATGATAGGCAGTTACTACTACAGTAACTTGATCATTGATCATTAAGTGACATGAGTTCAGCAGCTGTTCTTCTGCTGAATATCCTATAAAGTATGTGGTGACAAAGGAGTTGGTGATTTGAGGACAGTTAAGAATTGTGCATAGAGGAATCCGGCACAATAGAGATGTGCATTGCAAAATCATGTCGACAAAGCTATTAATACTATTTTAGTTGCTCCTTTCTTAAATCACCTTGTTTTATGTTAGATGACAGGTATTTGCATAATGAAAAGATGTTGTAAGTGGGCTTTATGGAATTAGGATATTAATCTCAGAAGGGCTATTTTTGTTAGTGAGTTTTTTTCTTTTTTTTTTCTGTCAGTTAGGATCTATCTCTTTATGTCATAATAAATATAACTCTGGAAGTAAGTAATCTGAATGCTTGATAAGAATTCTAATACAAAACCAGTCAATCATACCTCAGAGCTGGTATTTAGAACTAATCTGAACAGCAAGATTTCCAAGAAAGGTACTATTACACCCAGTAAATCTCACTGCAGATCAGGATTGATTTGTATACAATAAGGTAGGAAGTATGTAATTTTTTTCCGTTTTCATATCTGATCATGCTTGGTGCTCCAGACTGAGTGCTGTGACCGTATCTAAGATGGATTAACAAATTTCTGCATTATTGTTTCACTCAATTATTCAAAACATTACAGGTATTTTTGTAGGTACATGAAAAGAGATCAGTAGAATGATATAATCCTGGGAATTCACTAGTTAAACTGTGTGATTATCAATATAGTACTATTTTAGGATCTTTATTTCATCTTCTCTTTGTACAATCATAAATATCAATACATTGGAAAATAGACCCTTTAACAACATCTTCCATATTGTTTTTCCTCAAATGGAAGAAATTCTTCCTCTAAAGGATCCCCCAAAGGAAAACATGCTTTGTAGACTAGAAAAAAAGTGTATTTCTTATTTAAAGGGTAAACTGCATCGACTATATTCTGTATAATTCCCTTCTTATTAGTGGCATGCACTAGCCTTCTAACTATTCTGCGAAAATAAAAATCACTCTTTTTTTGCCTTTTTTGGCAAGAGAGAGAGTTAACAATTCCTGTGAAATTTTCAGAAAGCAGAAGCTTTCCCTGGAATTTGTATGAAAAAAATCAGAATACTTCACTGTGTAAATTATCCAGAAAGAGTTTATTGTCTCAGCTCTAGTCTTTTGATAGCTGATTTTAGTAGTATTTTCTCTTTTACAGGAAGATACACATTAACTCAGTCTGTAAAATGAACTGTCACACTGCAAAGCATTACCATAATTGGCTGGCACCTATTTCTTGGACATTCTGTCTAACAGACTCATGGGTCCCTGTGATTAAAATATGATGAATAACCTCGTGATAGTTGTTTCCCAAAGAAAATAGCACATAAAGTTGAAAAACAGTATTTTATTGAGTTTGGCATTGAAACTTGAGAATTGGAAATTGTCAAAGCATTTACTTATTTATACCAGCAATTGTAACTACTCAACTGCTGTGTTATATTAGTCTTGCAGAACTTTGCTATGCAGTGTAAGAAGATGATCTTTAGAAATGTTCTCTATGTGTATATAATGTATAGTATACATAATAATGTTTACAATGAGATGCATGAGTATATCTGCAAAGATGCAAAAGATGATGCATGTGGCTGAGTGGCAGTGAGGACAGAGAGAAGACCATTGGCTTTCCGAAAGTCAGGTCATAGTGGGGAAAACCACTTGAAAGTCTTAGAAATCAAGAATGTGAACAATGTGAAGTATAGGCACCATGATTTCAGCTAGTGCCACTTAATCCTCTCTCATGTATTGTTGTATACAGTGATCCTTGATATATATGGAATATCCAGCTTATGTCTGAAGCATATTGTGTATGCATCATAAGCTAAAGTGAGACAGGGGATGCTCTTGCTACTGTTGCTGTGACATATTAACCAACATAGACAGCTAAATCTATTTTGAAAATGTTCTCTGTTGAATATGAGTGAAAATGTTATCCTTAACAATTAACAAGTTCAAAATCTTCTACCTACAAAATGGTGTACATAATGGTGAAACAGAATTCTGTGGCATTTGTATTATTCCTGGCAATCTTGCCTCTCTAGTTGTGCATCCATGAGCACCTTGCCTTATAAGTGAGTCACGTGCTATTGGAAGTAGCAGCTTTTATATAGCATTGTGCTTGTTAAGTCAAACCCCATTTGTAGCATTATTTCAACTCAGCAAGGCAAGCAGAGGTGAGAAAGTTCACCTAGCACCATTTGGAAATACGAAGAAGTTACCATCAAACATGCTTTTGTGTAGCATGTGGATTTTGAGATTTTTTTAAAGATTGAAGAACCTGCAGCCTAGCAAGGACAGAATGAACTGCCATGTCCCTCCAAAAAGAGGGAACTTTCCCTCTCTAGAATGATGGAGGAGCTCCTTTTGGTAAGCTAGGGAGTCACAGTATGCTAAATCTTACACTTGGCACAGGGCTTGCATGCCCATCTGTCACATAAAAGTTTATTTTCTCAGGAATTATAAAATTTAAAAAAGAATCCTTTTGCTTTGAAAAATTACTGCATGGAGAACAGGAGATTAAATTTTATAATTGTTGCACTGTTCTTGTTTAGGTGAAAGCCCAGCTTCAAAAGATGGGAGCTATTCAACCCATGAACATATTTCTCCGTCAAGAAATTGACTGCATGCAGTGTGTTATCTCAAGAGTTCGAACTACACTGACTGATCTCAAATTGGCTATCGATGGTAAGTTACAATATTAAAAATCATACTAATTAAGATACAATATTTATTACTAGTGGTTGCATATACTATATAACTAAATAAATATTTCCCCTCCTTACCTCCCTTTCTACCTCTTTCTCTTTCGTTCTCTCCCTCCCCCATTTTTCTCTTTTTCTCTCTCTTTATCATAGGACCACTAATTCTAGCCCTTAAAACCTCCTGACTGCGTCTCTAAGGACACTCTACCTTAATTTATTCTGTATGGATGTGCTCCAATATTGCAGTTCATGTCCCACAGCAGTACTACACTTCTGTGATTCTCTCTCTAGGATCTCTACTGAGCTCAGAGGAGCTGAATCGCATGATTAGGTCCAGAGGTCGTGTGCCAGAGTAATTTATGAAATTAAGCTGAGACATAATGATATAGAACAAGGTAGAAGTGTTGCTGCTACGTAATTGTGAGACAGGGCACTCAGGAGGCCAGGTGATAAGGACTCTGATTTAAGGTGAGATTTGCAATGTTCATGAAACTGGTTATACCAAATAGGATGTCTCTAAATGGAAGCTGAAGTGAGTGGAAGTGCCAGTCAAAAGAGAATGATAGAGTTCTGCTTTTAGTCACCACAGGAGGTAGGCAACAGCACTGTATCTCTCAGAGACAGGAACATTTGTCTGAAAGTGAGCAATGGTGAATGTAGTTAAAATAAATCAAGAGTACAGGCGACTAGAAGCAGATGGAAAATTTGATCAGAAAAGGAGCAAGGAAAAGGAAGGGATGATGATGTTACCATCTGCTTTTTGGTTTTACTTTCCATTTTGCTCATCTGCAAGAGCTGAAATATCCAGGAGGGAAAGTATACTGCTGCTCAGCCAAGCTCCTTGAATTAAAAATAAATGAAAATGAAGCAGGAAT